GCCCACCCCAGCATCACGCAGGGTGAGTCATGCAGGCTTGCGCACACACTGACACAGGTGTCCAGCAGAGACACATGGAGTACGAACACACATTCATGGAGTGACAGGTGGGCACACAGATACCCCTAATCTCTACATCCCAAGTCACACAGATCGAGTCAAGGCACTAAGGAGAGGCAAGCCTGGGCCTGAGGTTGGGGGTAGGGGTGCCTCTACCACACTCACTTCTTCCTCTCCTGTCTCTCCCTCAAGACACAGCAAGGCCGAACGGTGCTGGAGGTGCGGACACCTGTGTTGGAGCAGCTGCCAGTGCTAGATGCCTCCTTCTCAGACCTGGGGGCCCCCCCAAGGCGGGGAGGAGTGCTGCTTGGGCCTGTCTGCTTCATGGGCTAGGACTGTGCTGTCTGATCCTGTCCATTGGAAGCAGGTGCACCTGGGATCTCCAGCATCCATCTGTGCCACCTCCCAAGAGGCCTCCTCACCATCTAGGGGACAATGGGCCCTGGTGACGAGAGCCCTCAGTCAGGGGCAGGCCAGGGAATGGGTGAAGTGGGTGCCAGGACACCCCAGGGGAGGGGTGGCATCTGGGGCTTTTGGGCCTCCAACCTGGAGCCTGCAACCTGTTAGAGAGCTGAGACCCTTATTTAAAACTCACCTCCCAATCCCCCCAAACAAGTGGAAGAGAAGAGAAAGGACACTGTGTATTTTGTATTTAAAAGTAATTATATTATTTAAAGAGTGGAAAACAAAATGACAAGAAAGATAAAGAGAAATGTCAACAAAAATCAGCAGAAGTTGGAGACAGAGCTCTCCAGGGGTGGGCCTGGGCACCCCAGCCTTGCCTCAGGGCCTTTCCTCAGTGACTATGTGTGGGGGATTCCGGGCTAAACCCCACCTCCCTCACAGCCCACCTGTAGCACCCACTGTGAACGTCAGAATATATGGTCTCCTTTGCCTCAGGGCTCTGACTCTTTCTGCCCAGGGAGGGGCTTTCTCACCTCTATCTACCAGGTGTTGGCTCCCTGGCCCATGTAACTGCTGTCGTCTTTCACTTGGTCTGGGTCTGGCAGGCAATGTCTGCTATTTGAGGACCAGGCCTCTCCCCCAGGGAAGAAACAGAACAGTGTGGAGTGTGTACAGGACTTGTATCCAGCAGATTGTTGAAATATTAAAATTCTTCCATATTGGCTGATAAATCACTATGGGCCTGAGCCCCCTGAGTATCTATCTCATTGCCATCCTGGCCACTCCAGTCCCTCTCCTGTGTGCCCTCACCTTCCTTGATCCTGCAATTAAAGGATTAATGTCTGGATGGAAGGGACTCCCAGGATCATATGCCCAGTGTCCATTCCGACTGATGTTTAAATAATGTGGTGTCTTTGCCCTGGGTATATGTGTTGGTGCTTGTGTTGTTATTTCAATCCCCTTGCCCTCATTCAATACTCCATTTTCCCAGCTGAGCTCTTAACCAGAAATGGATGGTTTACTCCCAATGCCTTGGAGGGCTTGTCCAGGTGGGGTATCAGGGCCCAGAGTTTATAAAACCTGAGTGACAAAGTACAGAAAAGAAAGCACAAGCAGATGCCCCAGAGACATGAGGTGGGGGCTTAGTGCCCCTCTGGCTCAGGATTCCAACACAGGTGTGGGATTGTTTCTGGGTGTGGGTGTGCCTGCCCTCTCTTCCACCTGGGATACAGCCTTTACCTCTCCTAGTCCCTCCCAACTTCAGGATTTCAGAGCTGGAAGGAGCCTTGGATGGCCTAGTCTAATCTTTCCAAATCAGGAAACTGAGGCCCACTTCCAAGACAATGCTTACTCCACCTGTACTCCTGGTCATCTTATCCCTCCCCCAGGCTTGCGATGTCCTGTTGTAAAAAGCCAAGGCTATGGCTAGACCCTCCGTATCGCCTGTGGTTATGTGTATATCTTTGGAGGCTTTGTGTTGGGTCGGAAGCACAGTCCCCCTCCGTCCCAATCTTCTCTCCTGGCTTACTCAGCTGCTCCTTTCCCCTCCAGGTCGGGTGTCCCAGTAGGGCCTTCTGTCCTTGACTCACCAGGATACCCAGGCCTCCCTAGCTGGCCTCCTCACACAGCATTGCCTGGCTCCTCCGTCCAGCGGTAGATGAAAACTTGTCCCAGGGTCTCATCCCAACTGGGACTCCCCTCTCTCTGTTAGGGCGCCTGGCTGCTGAGGCTAGGAGTGGGCAGCTGTAACCGCATGCGCGGTGTTCGAGTGCCGGTTTCCCATCCGCAATCCCCTGGTGCGACTGGACCTCGCACCCCTAGCCCGGGTAGCCAGCGCCCGCGTCCCTCTCCCCGTGCTTCTTTCCAGGCCGATCCTGGATGGCGCCGCCTTAACAGTCCCCCAAGGACAAAATCCTGGGCGGCGGAGCTAACTCTTTCTGGAAGCTGTCCCCTGGGCTTCTCGGTGCTCAGCCCCGCCCGGCCGGGTGGCAGGCGAACCCCTCCCCCGCGCGGGCAGCCCGGGGCCGCGCTTCCCTCCGCCTCTGCTGCCCCCTGGTGCTGGCGCCCAGACCCTGGCCGACACCCGCAGACGGAGCCACCCCTGCCAGCCTCAGCTCTGCTTCTCCTTCCTCACCCGCTGAGCTCTCGTTCACCACACTGCCCTCCCACAGCAGAAGGAGGACACATGGAGGAGGAAGCCCCCGATCTCATCTCTCTGGGATCATCCATGCCCTTCACCTCAATTTCCAAGGCCGGAGAACTTCAGACACCCCTTTATCTCCCTTGCAGGCCTCAGATCCAGAGAAGATCAGACTTAAATAGATAGAGGCTCCGGACCTTCCTCGCCCGCACCCAGTCCCAGCCACAAAAGGCCAGAATCAAGGTTTTCACAGGGGTTCCCTCTGCTGTTGGAACCAAACCCACAGAGGCCCCCCTAGAGCACAAAGGGGAGGTCCCCAAAGGTCGTTTTTGGTCGGATGCTTTGAGCTCAGATTTCTCCATGGAAACAATGCCATACAGTCATTCAAATAACGTTTATATACAGTGGTTAGGTCCCCAGGCCAATCACAAAAGCCTATTTAACTATGTCGTGTGTCATCCAGCTGCCCTAACAGTTCTGTGAACGATTCTGTGCCAAGCTGCTACTGAGGATGCCAGGACTACAGCCTCTCCTTACAGCTGACTCCCCACCCCCTACCCCGCCCCAAGCTGGGCTGGGTGTGGGCAGTGCAGGTGCCCTGGCAAGTGGCTGCTGGCAAAGCTCCAATGGCTGTGGGCAACCGATGCTTCTGCATGGGTGGGGGGAGATAAGAAGAGAGAGGCAGGGGCTTTGGGGAACACTTTGGGTTTGACTGAGGTAGAGCATAAACTCCTGTTGGAGGAGTTAAGTTCTGAAAAATTTTGACCTCCTCTGGGAGGAGTTTCACTTGAACACCAGAAGTAAAAGGGAGTCATTGATGGTGTCTGAAAGCAAGTGATCTGATGGAATTGTGCGCTTCCTAGGTGGCTGAGGACGGGGTCAGGAAGGCAGTGAGATGATGCACAGAGGAAATCCTGTGCGGGTGGGTCCTCTGGCCTGTCACACCCTTGGACTTCTCAGCTTTGGGCTGTTATTTTTTAGCATCTGTGATTTATGGTCAAAAAATAACTTGTGGAATAAAATGAAAGTAACTTAGAGACTGCTCAGATCACTGTCCATGGGAGCACCACGTGTCCCAGAAGGCCACAGGCTATGTGTTGGTTCTCTCCCTCCCTTGGCTGTGTTGTGTTTGGGATCTGTAGTTACAAAGGACTAGGGGTGAAGATGAGATAGAGAAGGGAGTCGGTCAAAATAAGGCTCTAGCTGCCTCAGAAAGAAGTAGTAGGGGTGGCCACCCACTTTTGTGGTTGTATAGGCCTCGTTTCTGCAAGTTCAGTGTGGTCAGCAGGGAGTGTCAGGGCTGCACCTGAATGTCTTCATGGCCAGCTGTGCAGTTCACAGAGGGTTTACTCACATAGGCCTGGTTGGATTTCTGAACTCCAACCTAAAGTCACCCTTGGGTGCTTGCCGTTTGCTTTCTGTTATCTTTTTTCTCATCTTCAGGGTAGTTTCATGGGAACTGGTGTTGCTAGCAGACTGCCATCTCAGTAGCAAAGACCCTTGAATGAAAACCAGGGACATCTATAGGGGCTTCTCCTTTAGGGCCACCTTCAAACAGTCAGGGCAGTAGAGAGACTGCCTTTCTCAGCGGCAGTGAGAGCCGCCACTCCACACCGCCTCCCCTCAGGAGGCAGGAGCATGTCACTTAGTGTGGTTCACTTTGCTCTGGCCTCTCTTTCTGTTAGTAACATCTTCCTCCCGGGTCAAAGGTTTTTTGATTCTTAAGACATAGGTAGATGGTTTTCCAAAGTAAAACAAATAAAGGCCATATTGGATATTATGGCATCTCACTTCACCTGTAAAGGCTTTGGACTCCACAGAGACTCTGGCAAGTATGTGGGTCATGGTGATGTATTCCTATGTGGTGTTCACATCTCCTCAAGGTCTGGGCAGTATTGCTGGATCAGGCAGTGGGCCAATTCTCCTCACTAAATAAGCCATACCCCTGTTACCAGTGTTGGCACAGATTTCTCATAACTCTGCAAGTTTTCAGTTATGGCTATTTTTAGCAATACCTATAAGTTTTCCTTACTTTTAGAATTCCAAATCTGTAGAACCAAACCAAACAAACAAAAACTGAAAACTGGCAAACGCATTTCAGAGACATTAAGTTAGGGAGAAGATGGGAAATAGCACTGTGTTTAATTGAGGCCTTGTGGACAGAGGGACTAGACAAAAAGTCTGAGTGGCAGGTGGTCTAAGTTTGAGCAGACTTAGGGCCAAGGGTAGCACGTGTGCCTGCTGGCAGGAGGCCTCTCTGGTTCTTTCAAGGGCTTCTCCTTCCTTTAGCTTGCTGGGGTTTTTGCTTCTAACTGAATTGTACATTTAACTCCAGCATCAGTTTCCTCTTCTGCAAAGTGGGATACTACTTGCTCTTAAGGGAATAATTTCCCCTTTAATCATAGCCTTTGTACTGCAAAGGGAGAGGAGGGGACTGGCCAGCTACAATAACCTTGAGTTGGTTATTGTTGACCCAGTGGTTGTTTTCACTTTACACTTCTGATCGTAGTGCTGTTCAGATTTCATACTTAATTTTTTTAAATTTTAGGTTAATGTGAGGGTACGTATAACTAGATCAAAATATTTGAATTTGTTAGGTAGAGTCCCTATTGTAGCTTAATTTTTTTTGTTATAAGTATCGAAATCTGATTCAGAATAGCTTAGGCCCCCAAGGGAATTTATTGTAAAAATATTAGGGTTTCCCAGGATTTGAGGGAAGGGTTGACTCAATAGGGAGAGCAGTTCTGGGGACCTCAAGGGTTCATGGACTTTGTCCCTAGAGTGTGACCAGGAACACCACTTGGCAGGGCTGGTCTCAACCTTTATGTCTCTGGGCTCGACAGGTCAGCCCTGTGAAGCAACAATCTGGTTGGCCTAGATTGGGTCATTTATCTCCCTGAGAACCAATTGTTTATGGTTGGGGGCCTGGTGTACCAATAAGCAGATATGTAGGAAGTTGAGGGGTGTTGGGGACATTGTACCTAGATAATGTGGGATCACTGAGACACCCAGGAGGTGTCTGCAACCTTTCCCTCTAAACAGACCTCTTTGTATATATTAGACCCCCCTGATCCATCCAGTCTCTTCATAACCACATTTGCTCTCCTCCACTCACCCCCTCCCTAATGGGCAACCCAAAGTCATGTTCAGCTCTGTGGCCATGATGTCATGAGATCTTTAACCTCAGAAGCCAGCATCTTTGCCAGTTTGCATTTTGATGCTTCAATGTTCAGCACATAAACTTTCATGCCTTTTATATCCAGGGCTGCATTATACTTCTGTGAACACTGTGTACTTTTGACTTTCTGGAATTTTTCCTTCCAAAAACATTTTCAAATCATATTTATGACTGTATTGGTTTACAGGCAATATGCTATATTAAGATATTTTCTTCAACCTAGAAGTTAATTTTTTTTCTGTTTTGAAAGAAATGTACGCCAGGCATAGTGGCTCACATCTGTAATCTCAGCACTTTGGGAGGCCAAGGTGATAGGACTGCTTGAGGCCAGGAGACCAGTCTGGGTAACATAGAGAGATCCCCATAGAAAACAAGAAGGGTATAATGGCACATGCCTGTGGTCCCAGCTACTCAGCAAACTAGGGAGGATCTCTTGAGCCCAGGAGTTTGAGGCTGCAGTAAGCTATGATCTCACCACTGCACTCCAGCCTGGGCAACAGAGTGAGACCCTGCACTGTTTCTTAAGAGGGGTGGGGGAAAGAAGGGTACACATTTTCCACGGACCCTCCAAAGTATTGTGGACCCTAGACACTGCATCTACTGTGCATAATGGTTAGCTAGGCCCTTGTCTTTGTTCCAGATTTTACCTTCTTACTCTTAAAAATATAATCATAATTCTATTTATCACATTTTTTTTTTTTTTGAGACAGAGTCTCACTATGTCACCCTTGGTAGAGTGCCATGGTGTCACAGCTCACAACAACCTCAAACTCTTGGGTTAAGTGATTCTCTTGCCTCAGCTTCCCAAGTAGCTGGGACTATAGGCGCCGCCACAATGCCTGGCTATTTTTTGTTGTAGTTGTCATTGTTGTTGTTTAGCAGGTCCAAGCCAGGTTTCAACCTGCCAGCCCCGGTGTATGTGCCCAGCACCCTAACCACTGAGCAATGGGCACCATGCCTATTATCACATCTTTAATATCACTCCTATTATCAGATATCCAGTCAGTGTTCAGATTTTACAGGTTGTTTTGTGAGTTTTGTACATGTGTTTGTTTAAGTCACAATCCAAATAAAGCTGATAGTCTTTTAAGTCTTTAAAAACTATTTATTTCCTTATTTAAACTATTTTTGTCTGGCTTGGCTCCCATAGTTCAGTGGTTAGGGTACTGGCCACATATACCAGGGTTGGTGGTTTCAAACCCAGCCTGGACCTGCCAAACAACAACAACTGCAACAAAAAAATAACCAGGCATTGTGGTGGGCACCTGTGATGTGAGCTGTGATGCCATGGTACTCTACCGAGGGTGACATAGTGAGACTCTGTTTCAGAAAACCCCCCCAAAACAGTTTTTGTCTACTTTTTATTATGGAGAAATGTAAATGTATACAAGGTGGTTTATCTTTGCTATTTTAAAAATAATTAGTACATATTATATTTTTTCAGTTTTAATTTTGAATATAGTAAATATCAATAACACATGTAAGTAAAGCTTTTTAGTATCTTCAGTAATTTTTAAGAATATAAAGGGTCCTTAGATTAAAACAAGTTTTTTTTTTTTTTTTTTGCAGTTTTTGGCTGGGGCCGAGTTTGAACCTACTACCTCTGGTATATGGGGGCCAATGCCTTACTCCTTGAACCACAGGCACCGCCCAGATTAAAAAAAGTTGTTTTTTTTTGAGACGGGAGCCTCAAGCTGTCCCACTGGGCAGAGTGCTGTGGCATCACAGCTCACAGCAACCTCCAACTCCTGGGCTCAAGCGAGTCTCCTGCCTCGGCCTCCTGAGTAGCTGGGACCACAGGCGCCCACCACAACACCCGGCTATTTTTTGGTTGCAGCCATCATTGTTGTTTGGCGGGCCCGGGCTGGATTAGAACCTGCCACCTTGGGTGTACGTGGCTGCGCCTTAGCCACTTGATCCACAGGTGCCGAACCAAAAAAGTTTGACAATCATTAACCTAGGGGACCTCAAAAATAATCTTGTCCACCTGGCCCCACCCTTAGAGATGTGGGTTCAATCCATCTAGGGTGGGCCTGGGCAAAGGGACTTTAGTGAAAGTTCCCCAGATGCTTTCAAAGTGCAGTCTGGGGTCAGAACCTCTGCTCTAAACTAGAAAGAGCCCTGTAAGAAATAAGCAAAGGAACAGAGTGGCAAAGGCAACCAAATACCCCCAGTGAGAAAGAGCCTCCTGGGACCTGCTGTATTTAGCAGATAAGCTTGCAAGTATGGGCCCAGAAAAACTGAATAATGGTGGTTAAAGTAAATAGGAATTAATTTTTAAGTAAATAGGAATTAATTTTTCTCACATAGCAAGGAATCTTGTTGGAAGGCAGCTACTGATGTTGGTTTGCCTATTCAATGCCTATTTTAAAAATAATTAGTACATATTATTTTTTTCAGTTTTAATTTTGAATATAGTATAGTATATTCAATGATGTCATCAAGATCCTAGATGTTTATATCTTTATACTTTACCCTCTCACAATGTTACTCTTATTCTCTTTGGATAAACTATAAGCATATTTTAAAATTTTTTATTAATTAATTAATTAATTATTTTTTGCAGTTTTTGGCCAGGGCTGGGTTTGAACCCACCACCTCTGGCATATGAGACTGGCACCCTACTCCTTTGAGCCACAGGCGCCGCCCATAAATTTAAAAATTTTTTTTGAGACAGAGTCTTACTCTATTGTCCTGGATGGAGTGCCATGGAGTCATTGTAGTTTATAGCAACATCAAACTCTTGGGCTTGAGCAATCCTCTTGCCTCAGTCTCCCAAGTAGCTGGGACTACAGGCCACTATGCCTGGCCAGCTTTTATATTTTTAGTAGAGATGGGGTCTTGCTCTTGATTAGGCTGGTCTCGAACTAGTGAGCTCAGGAAATCTACCCACCTCAGCCATCCAGAGTGCTAGGATTATAGGCACAAGCAGCTGCACCCAGCCAAGCACATTTTTTTTGACAGGCCAACAAGTGAAAATTTATTATAAAGCATGTGTACACAAAGAAATCTATCATAACATCATTGACTTTAAAAAATAAAAAATAAAAATGAACCATATTTCCCTGAAATTTTGCTAGATGAGGTAATTCAATGCCCAACTTCTTTTTCCTATACTTTCTTATAAAAAATATATCACTTTTGTAGGTCCTAGAAATTCACAGTCTTAATTTACATTGATGAACATTATATCAAAGAATAAAAGTCAGCAGAAGTTATAAAGAAGTGAGATAAAATAAATCACTGGTATTAAAAAAAACAAACAAACTAGGTTTATAAAAGAGAATGGGAACAGCACAGGAAAAGTTCTGCGGCTAAGTTACAATAGTAGCTCCAGGGAGTAAATTTAACTTTATCTCCCAAAAGTTAAGTAACTATGCTTTCTTATTTGTAAATGTCACATAAAACTTGAATTAAAGTCTTCTTCATAAAACTGGAGGACTATTAGGCTCTTTCTTTTCCAAAAGAGAAAACATTTCATACCTTTAAAACAAGATAGGGAGAAAGCACCACGAAAGTTAAGAGACCTTTCTGAATTCTGAATTTAACATTAATGCTTAAGATTATAGCTTACTAAATGAAAAGTGGAATGGTACTTGTATGTCAGAATTAAGTTAATTTTAGTATCGTTTCTTAGATTTAGCTTAAGATATTTGCAAACTGAACAATGTTCTAAGACATGATGAGGTTAGAGAGTTTGGTTAATAAGAAAATTTAGAGGCTCGGCGCCTATAGCTCAATCGGCTAAGGCGCCAGCCACGTACACCTAAGGTGGCGGGTTCAAATCCCCAGCCCGGACCCGCCAAACAATGATGGCTGCAACCAAAAAATAGCCGGGCGTTGTGGTGGGCGCCTGTGGTCCCAGCTACTTGGGAGGCTGAGGCAGGAGACT